TACCAGTCAGTAGAGTGCTGCTGAGCGGAAGACCTCTGCGGTCAACTGACCTAGTCTGCCCTCTGCCATGTCTCCCCCCAGGACTATGAATTAGAAGCAGAGAAACTAAGGTCCCTTCTTGACTTGGAGAATGGAAGGAACAGCCACGTGAGCAAGAGAGCCAGGCTCCAGTCCCCTGCTGCCAAAGTGAGGGAAGAGGTGAGCTTTGTGGGTAGGTGTTCTCGGAGTTGTGCAGCCTTTCAGGGAGCACGCATGCAGGCCTCAGAGAGGCAGCATAACATGGAAACTGGGCTGAGAGCTTTCCTGGGTACAAACAGGTTTTGTAAGGGAAGATAATGAACTTTTTCTGGGGCAACATTGATATACTTAGAAAGACAGCCTGCTGGAGGCATCTGGGCCAGAGCCATGGATTAGGGAGGTTCCCACTCTGCTCCCCCTGCCTAATACATATACAAGAGGCCAATGTTATTTCCTCTATATGCAACAATATCAACGTTTAACGGACATCTGCTCAAGGCCACTGGGAATAGACTTCTGACTCTAAACCCAGTGTTCTCTCCACCAGATGACTGTAGTAGGAAGGGGCAAGAAGCTACCCTCTAACTCCAAATGCCAAACTTTTCAAAACTCATCCTAGCTCTTTCCCCCTCACTCCTATTTGCTGAATGCTCCCCTATAGGAAGCGACTCTTACTGCCAAGTTCACCGAAGTTAACGCCATCAATAGACAGAGGCTGCAGAACCTGGAGTTTGCTCTGAATCTACTGAGACAGGTAATGAATCTTAGTGTGACACATTCTACTCAAAACTGTTCCAGCAGGTGAGAAACAAGACTCCTTCAGCCTCAAAGAAACAGCCTGTAAACTAGGGCGAGTGTCTCTTGCAAACACGCTGGGCAGCACCAGTGCAAATACTGGCCCAAGCCAGCGCCTCTGTTGACATGAGTGTAACTTATATATTCCCTCCAACAGACATTTGCAGAGTACCTAGTAGAAGTAGCATGTTTAAAGTCCAGAATGTTTATGATAGCACTGAAATAACAAGAAACTAGAAGCAACTCAATACTCATCAGCAATGGGTAATTAAATTATGGTCTGTCCACATGTAGTTATTAAACAGTGAAGTAGAGCTCTGTGCTGCTGTGAAATTTCCTCTATCTAGATTAAGTGCAACAAGGGTGCAGAACAGGGGACTTACCATTTGTGCAGAAAAATAAACATCTGACACACTAAAAATATACTTGTCATAAGATGACAGATACTCTTAGAGCAATAGGACAGGACCAGAGGTGGAAGAATGATTTCCTTTCACACTCTATGGTTTTAAAATTTTTTACCAAATGAATTTTAAGAAAACCTAAACCAGCTGGTTTTTACCATTTTTAAAAGTAACCCTAGAAACTCCTGTGAACCCAGCAGTTGGAGATCACAGACTGACCTGTTTACCGGGGAGAGTCCAGCTTTAACCATGCACTGTCTTCTCCTTCCCAGCAGCCAGAGGTAGGAGTGACCCATGAGAGTCAGCAAGGGAGCCAGCCGGGCTCCAGAGCAGAGGAATCATGGAAGATCCAGAAGGAGTTGGATGAGGAAACTGAGCGGAGGCAGCAGCTGGAGAAGGAAGTCAAGAGTGCCCAGGAAGAAATCCAGATTCTGCAGAATCAGAACCCCCAGGAAGCAGTGGTGAGGAAGGAGGTGCTGAAGAAGGTTCCGGACCCTGCACTTGAGGAGAGCTTCCAGCAGATGCAGCGGACGCTGACGGAGGAGCAGCACAAGAACCAGCTGCTTCAGGAGGAGCTGGAGGCGCTGCAGCTGCGGCTACGCGCCCTGGAGCAGGAGACCAGGAACGGTGGGCAGGAGTATATAGTCAAGGAGGTCCTGCGCATCGAGCCGGACAGAGCCCAGGCTGACGAGGTCCTGAGGCTGAGGGAGGAGCTGGAGGAGCTAAGGCGGCAGAAGGGCACCCGGGAAGCAGAGGCAGTCCTCCTGCAGCAGCGCATCGCGGCCCTGGCTGAGGAGAAAAGCAGGGCGAGGGAGAAGGTCACTGAGAAGGAGGTGGTGAAACTGCAGAACGACCCCCAGCTGGAGGCAGAGTACCGGCAGCTGCAGGAGGACCAGCAGGAGGAGGGCAAGCGCAGGGAGAAGCAGGAGGAGGAGCTGAGCTTTCTGCAGGACAAGCTAAAGAGACTGGAGAAGGAGAGGGCCATGGCTGAGGGGAAGGTCACTGTCAAGGAGGTGCTCAAAGTGGAAAAGGACATGGCAGTTGAGAGGGAGGCCAGCGACCTGAAACGCCAGTATGAGGACGAGGCTGCCAAGGCTCGTGCCCACCAGAGGGAGAAGAGTGAGCTGCTCCGAAAGATTTGGGCCTTGGAAGAGGAAAATGCCAAGGTGGTGGTGCAGGAGAAAGTGCGGGAGATTGTCCGGCCAGACCCCAAGGCAGAGAGCGAGGTGGCCAACCTCCGCCTGGAGCTTGTGGAGCAGGAGCGCAAGTACCGGGGTGCCGAGGAACAGCTGAAGAGCTACCAAGAGGAGCTGGAGGCACTGCGGAGGCGGGGCCCGCAGGTGGAAGTCAGAGAGGTGACGAAGGAAGTCATTAAGTATAAGACTGACCCTGAGATGGAGAAAGAGCTCCAGAGGCTCCGGGAGGAGATTGTGGACAAGACCAGACTCATCGAAAGGTGTGATTTAGAGATCTACCAGCTGAAGCAAGAGATCCAGGCTCTGAAAGACACTAAACCCCAGGTACAGACCAAGGAGGTAGTCCAGGAAATCCTTCAGTTTCAGGAAGACCCCCAAACCAAAGAGGAAGTAGAGTCTTTGAGGGCCAGACTAGCAGAGGAACAGAAGAAGCAGGTGGACCTGGAAAGGGAGAGGGCTTCCCAAGAGGAGAAAATCAAACAGAAGGAGGAGGAGCTTTCCCAGGTGAAGGAAAAGGTGGTCCAGCAGGAGGTGGTCAGGTACGAGGAGGAGCCTGGCTTGCGAGCTGAGGTGGATGCCTTCACCCAGAGCATTGATGTGGAGCTCCGGCAGATCGACCACCTCCGCGGGGAGCTGCGGCGGCTGCAGCGCAGGCGGGCCGAGCTGGATCGACAGCTGGAGGAGCTGGAGCGTGAACGGCAGGCGCGTAGGGAGGCCGAGCTGGAGGTGCAGCGCCTGAAGCAACAGCTGGCTGATCTGGAAAAGGAGGAGGAGGGAGCCCAAGAGAAGGTGACCCACAAGCAGAAAGTAGTGCTTCAGCAGGACCCCCAGCAGGCCCGGGAGCACTCCCTGCTCAAACTCCAGCTGGAGGAGGAAAGGCACCGGCGGCAGGTCCTGGAGAGTGAGCTGGAGACCCTAAAGAAGAAGCTCAACAACCTGGAGAAGATGGAGGTCAAGGAAAAGGTGGTCTTCTCCGAAAGTGTGCAGGTGGAGAAAGGTGACACTGAACAGGAAATTCAGAAGCTCAAGAGCAGCCTGGAGGAGGAGACTCGGAGCAAGAGGGAACTGGACGCCGAGGTGGGCCGTCTGGAAGCCAAACTGTCAGAACTGGAGTTCCACAACTCCAAGTCCTCCAAGGAGCTGGACTTTCTCAGGGAAGAAAATCACAAACTACAGCTGGAGCGGCAAAACCTGGAGCTGGAGACCCGGAGGCTCCAAACAGAAATTGAAATGGCGGCGACGGAAACACGGGACCTGAGAAACATGACCACAGTGGACTCTGGGACAAACCTCGACTCCAGACTATGGTCCCTGGAGAGAGAGCTGGACGACCTCAAAAGGCTCTCCAAAGACAAAGATCTTGAGATCGATGAGCTGCAGAAGCGCCTGGGCTCTGTGGCTGTCAAGAGGGAGCAGAGAGAGAACCATCTGCGGCGCTCCATTGTAGTCATCGACCCTGACACAGGCCGGGAGCTGTCCCCGGAGGAAGCCCATCGGGCTGGCCTCATCGACTGGAACATGTTTGTGAAACTCAGAAGTCAGGAGTGCGACTGGGAGGAAATATCAGTCAAGGGTCCCAACGGGGAGTCCTCTGTGATCCACGACAGGAAGTCTGGCAAGAAGTTCTCCATTGAAGAGGCCCTACAGAATGGGAGGCTGACCCCTGCTCAGTATGACCGATATGTCAACAAGGATATGTCCATCCAGGAGCTGGCTGTCCTGGTGTCTGGGCAGAAGTAAGCACAGCCCTGCCCCTCAGTCTCTTGGAAGCCGACGCTGGCTCTCTACCACATACCACCTTCTCCCTGGCCCTTAATCCGTGAAGAGTGAACATGCCACCCATGCCTTCTCAGCCAAGCTACTCAGAGTATAGCTCATGTACAAGCAGAATGGTCACTGGCTGCACCATCATTTAACCCAGGTGAGAGACCTGCTTCGTCCTCCAATGATTCAAAATCACAAAGCCCTTCTTTTCTCTCCCTTTTCCTACACACTCCCATCAACAGACTCCTTGTGGGAAACCTGGAAGCAATCTGAACACTGCGAAAGCACAAGACCACTGAGGCAGATCAGCCACTCCATGCAGCACTGGCCTTCCCACACCAGATGGGGAAAGTCTGGGGCAGAAAGGCCTCCCTTCTATACACCCTTCCATTCATCAAAGGACTGAGCTCCTTGGGGCTGCCGACCTGTACTCACACCACTCCAGGAGTCTGGCTGAGAGCCAACTTTCTGTCAGACTTCTAATTGTGAGACAGATCTAGGATATGTGCCAGAGAAGGCGCAAAGAAAACTGCAAAGGGCCCTCTGTCAGCCTGACTGTCCCAGGAGAACACACCAATCGAGACTTTTCTGGTTCTGAAATTAAAGTTTTTGTTGTGGACTGTGTTGCTGTTAGCCTTAGCTTCAGGGCCTTACAAGTCTTGCTTATTCTCTAATTGGTACTTAGGTATACTACAGTTGATTTTTTCACCAAATTAATTTCAGGTTCTCTGTATCTTCTATATTACTAAGAAAACAGAAAAAAATAGGGAACTCCACCTTATAGTGCAAAAAATAAACACCTGGTGGCTTGACTCTTAATTTTATGCTAAGTGTGTTTCTTCCTCTTTTGCATGTGTGGTTTATTGCCGATACTCCCTCTTGGTTTTCAGCCAGGATATCCCATATGGATATCCATTTACCAGTCCCAATCACTTACCAGTTCCTATGGGAGAAAGTATTATTAGCAGATATGGCAAAAAGAATGAGAAACAATGTATTGGAAACCTTGAAACAATTTATTAAGTTGCTTTATACAAGATTAACAATTTCCACACCACCCCCTAATACCAACCTAGTGGCTGCACCAAAGCCACAACCCCTTTCACACTTAAGAAACGGCCGCACCAAGGAAAGCCCTGCAGCCCCGCAGCCCCCAGGCCCGGAGCCACTCTGCCTGTAGATCTGCCTTGCCATGGCTGTTTAAGTCATTCACTCTTTCATTTCCACAAATAAAGCATAAACAAGAAAAAAATCTCCCCATCAAAGAAACGTTTCCCTGAGGCAAGAGGCATCACTAGATTCCTACAAATGAGGGTATTCTGCTCCAGCTGCACACTCAATAGTATGTGGGGATGAGGGGGCACTGCAGGGGAACCGGATGTCTCGGGCAGAAAAAGAGCTCATGGGCAGTCTCTGCACGGCTCTGAGCTCAGCAATACAAATCTCTTCTTTGGCTCTTTTGCTACTTCCTAAGACTATTCTGTAAACAAACTGGAAATCCAAGTTGCAAAATATATATATAATAAAGGGATAAGAAATCCATGTAGCCCCATGTGAAACATGTGTTGGTTCTTATGTAAAAAGTCAGAGCAGAGGCCTTGCTCCTTGGATACCAAATCTCAGCATAAAGCAGGAGTTACTAAGCACTGGACCCTGGGTGCCAGGAACCAAAAGAGCTGCCTGTGTCTCCACATAGGTCTGCATTCTGAGGAGGATATATTTACTCTAAATATTTGAAATCACTTAGCTGGAGCAGTCAGTTGAGACATGCCTGTAGCAGAGACTTCACAGGACAGGCAAGTGACTTAAAAACTCCTCACGAAGCAGCCAGTGGTTCAATGGGAACAGCATAATGACTTGGGAGCTCTGGGGCTAATCGTCTTAAGTCTGTCTCTAATGTACTCTCCAAGCTCAGGCATAGCCCCACTGCCTGCAGAGCCCTAGGGCTTCAAGGCCTGTCTGTACAGTAGACCCTTCACAAAGGCCCACACCTGCAGCTCTGCCTGAGAATGATTTCTAAATAAGCTGGAATGTCTATCTGTAATTTGGAACTTTACATCCTTCCCTCAAAGGCCTTTGGGGCTCTGCAGTCCACATGTATGAACTCTGAAAAAAACAAAATCGAGGCCCTGACTGAACTGGGACCTGGGATTTGAGGACCCAGATGACCTTTAAGTCAGGGCAGCACAGATTATGATGTGCAATGATTAAAAAAACCTCAAATAAAACTGGCTACATCTTAAGTAGACAGTCATCTTTTTAAAAGATCTTCATCTGAGATCCACACAGAGGGCCTAATGGACGTGTGTCTAATTCTGCTCCACCATAAAGGCACTGGGATTATGTCTTCCATATGACGTGTGAAAATATGACATGTGAAGAACAGTCCCGCTCTATCCAATGCATTGATGGTAATGAAAACTGAGCCAAAAATAAGTGTCTTTAAAAATCCTATTACAATTGTTGAATTTACAAAGGTCTTTCTCTAAAAGAGCTTCATTGTCATGTTTAGAGGATAAACTGGCCCCTGTGATGAGAACACACTAGCTGTTCTGAATATTTTTCAACGAGACAGAAGTCTCCCAACTACAGCATTAGCCTGGGTTTCTGTCCATTGAGCACACAGCCTGAGGATGGGATAGACACCATGACCATTCAGGGACCCTAGTGTGGCCAAAAGGAGCCCCTGCCCAGTGGAGTGCCATGAGTTACTCTGCCAGGGTGACTTACAACACATGTGTGCCAATGCTCGGTCCTGCCACCAGAGCTCTGTACATGACCCAGTACACTTCCCAGCCTAGAGCTGCCCCTCCAACGATTGTCCGCGACAAAGCCACGAGGCCCGGATCACCAGGCCAGTCAGTACCTCTGGAGAAGCACGAGGCTGCTCCCAAGTGAAGGCACGTCACAAGTGCCAAGAGACGTTCCACTTAGCACTCACGCCTTCTCCAGAAGAAAACCAATCAGCAGAAAGAGCGTATTATCTGATTTTTCAGAGACCTACTAGTTCAGCTTCCAGCATTTCCTCTGAAGAGGTCACAATTTCCGTGGAACACCAGCCCCTTTCCCATGAAGCTGAGAAGCATCTGGAAAGGAATGAACAAAAACAATATAATAAATCTTTCAGGATCTCTGATTTTCTTCAGGCAGCAGTAACCAAGCCTCATGGAGGTCACTTCTGAAATAGCAAAAGCTTCTGTATGTTGAGTATTCTGAAGCTCAAATGAGTCACAAACACTTGACAGAGGTGATTTCAGTGTGTTACTTATAGCAGCCTGCAGCATGCCCAGCCTCTAAGCACCATGAAGGCAGCTGCTCATGCAGTGCTGTGTTCACAGACAACAACTCTACTATGCAATGTGGGCCACTTCTGTTCTTGGCTATGCAATGGCACATAGGTTCCATGATGGGGTTTGACAGTCACACTGAAGTCAAGGAGCAATCAACATTCTCACCATCAACAGATCCTCAGGTTCTATAAAGACAAGTTCAAAGGCACTAGCATTCTGAGTCCACATAGGGAAAAAAGCTAATCAGAAATAAGTCACACAATTAAAATGTCCAGACAGCTTCTCATTTACAACCACTCAATAGAACCCTATAGCCTGAAGGTCTAAAGGAGAGAAGAAAAGCCTACTCAGCCTGTTTTTAGCATAGATGCTTTTCTGATAACCTTTTAACACCCAGAGGAAAAACAGAAAAGAAATGGTACCAGAAAGCACTTTTCCCTTTTTTGTTGTAAATACCACAGACCAATATCACATTTCCAAAGGCTCTTCATTATTGTCTCTGTTTAAAAGGGTGACAGCAGAGGCAGTGCAATCTCTCTTTGAAAAACCACAAGCTCTCACCCATGTAGCCCTGCAATCTCTATATTATAATCTTAGCTACAGCAGCAGCCACCAGTTTGTGGAGCAAGTCCACACTACATTTTACTGCTTCTCCAGGGGAAAACAGAATAACTGCTGATACAAGCTTAGCTCTAGGTTTTTCTTTGAGAAGCAATTCCATCTTGGAGATTTGGAGCTGCAGACTAGTACACTCTTGTACCCAGATGGCTGCTGGTATTCATTACAAATGCATCAGTTTAAGGACACAGGGGCTAGGGACCCACAGCAAAATCTGGGACAGACTTGAGCCATGTCGGGCCCAGTGGTCTCAGTTCAGCAGGTGTCAGGAATGCCCAGCTGGATGAATCCCATCTTACTGCCACCAGTTATCAGTCTGCCAGGGCGGCTCCAGGCTCAGCTTCCTGAAGAATGGCTTTCCCTGACCAATGAGGCCCCTGATTGTTTCCAGAGAGTAATAAGAGCCTAGACCAAAACCAAGATCCCTGAGACTCTACAACAGCATTCCATTAGCTGCACCTAAGAATCAGGTCCTAACATAGGGTAAAGCCAATTGCTGATGACAAAAGTGCCAGCTTGCCGAAACTGGTTTGGCTCAGTGGTAGGGCATCGGTCTGTGGACTGAAAGGTCCCAGGTCCGGTCAAGGACATGTATGTTGGTTGCGGGCACATTCTCAGTAGGGGGTGTGCAAGAGGCAGCTGGTTGATGTTTCTCTCTCATTGACATTTCTAACTATCTCTCTCTCTTCCTCTCTGTAAAAAATCAATAAAATATATATTTTAAAAAGTGCCAGCTTCTCACAGCTATAAACCTAGAGCTTATACAGTGCCTCTTTCTGAAAGTCACTGGTCTCTGGAGAGGAAAAGTAGAAGAAGAGGGAACACTGCCCCAATTCTTGTTGTGCTCCCAACTTTCTGCCTTTACATCTGAACTGAATTGACAGCTGCTCCTCTCTTGAATACATGCTGACATCAGAGGTAAAGGTCCCTCCTGAAGCCTTGCCACTGTGACCTCTCACTTCTACTTGGACTTGCCCTTTCACTTAAACTAAATTGACAGAGCCTTCTATTAGCTGGTACTACCTGGAAGGTGTAGCAGCTTGAATTTAAAGGCCTGTAGTGCCAAAACCGGTTTGGCTCAGTGGATAGAGCATCGGCCTGCAGACTGGGTCCCAGGTTCGATTCTGGTCAAGGGCATGTACCTTGGTTGCAGGCACATCCCCAATAGAGGGCGTGCAAGAGGCAGCTGATCAATGATTCTCTCTCACTGATGTTTCTAACTCTCTATTCCTCTCTCTTCCTCTCCATAAAAAAATCAATAAAATATATATATTAAAAAAAAAAAAAAAAGGCCTGTAGTGCCCAAACTAGCCAAGGATTGGGGATTCCTCTGCCTTGCATACAGGTAACCCTGACTTCTCCTGTGATCACATGGGATAAGACTGACCCAGTGGTAAGAGACCAGGGGAAATCACAAAGTGGAGAAAACCTGTCCCATTCTGAGTACCCACAGAACAAGAGCCTGAAAAGACAAACCAAGACAGCAAAGTGATAATAAGGTGAAGATACAGAAATCTTTGGTAGCGGACGGCATCTACTGAGTGGAGAGGGGAGCGACACACAGTGCACATGGCACTCTGACCACCGGGCAGTTAATTACCTGGGAGATTCTGTGGGACGTGGGTAGACACGGCAGCGTGTGGGAGAGGTGCTGTGTGGGGCGGGCTGGAGTGCAAGCCAGCCAGGAGACCTGAGAGAAACAGGAGGGGAGAAAAGAACAAGACACACACATTGAAGACAAGAACAGAAAAGTATCCTTGGTGATTCAGAGCCCCAGACAATCTACTGGCCAGTTCTGATGAAACACCCTGTGGAAGGGCTCAGCATGATCCCTGAAAATGTTGCCCACAGCCACACACCAGTCACACACAGGAACCCAGTACACAACAGAACTCACTGGACACAGAAGTCTCGGGGCACCTTCTGTGCCTCCAAATGGGGGAGGAAAGGGAGAAGCACTTACTGTGGCTGAGGCCATGATGAAACGTCCCAGGGGCGGGTCCCGTGACGATGGCATCCTTGGAGACCCCTGCTTTGGCAGAGGAGTCAGCACTAAAGGAGAGTACACGGAGAGGAAACGGAGAGATGATCCCCAGGGAGTTTGAGTTCACAGACCCAGGCAGCTTTGGGCCGCCTGTCTTGTAGGATGAGGATAGCAGATTTAAGGGCGATGAGCTGGTCAGTAGCACAGCCCCACTTGTTCCTTTCTGGGGATGAAACACACAAAAGGATCAGAGCTCCACCCTGCCCATAGCCTGCTCACAAACCAGACTTGTCAACACACAGGGTGCAGACATCGACTGCTCCTTATGCAGGAACCCTAGTCTGCAGCCCCAAAGAGAACAGTCTCTAGACTGGCCTAATATGCCCCCTAGGACAGTGTTCACTTTAAAAAGCAGGATGTTAAGCCCTCGCTGGTTTGGCTCAGTGGATAGATAGGCCTGCGGACTAAAGGGTCCCAGTTCAATTCCAGTTAAGGGCACATGCTCGGGTTGCAGTTTGATCCCAGACGTGCAAGAGGCAGCCAATCGATGATTCTCTCTCATCACTGATGTTTCTCTCTCTCTTCCTCTCTGAAATCAATAAAAATATATTTTAAAAAAGCAGGATGTTAAATATGCCTCCTTTGTTCAATAAAGGGAAGAATATTATATATAAACATCCACAAATGTAGGTATGTACAAATATATGTATTTTTATATACAAAAGACACACACACATTTGTATGTAATAATATTTGTTTTTAGAAAGAAATGGGAAAATCTTGGAAACTAAGAGACATTGTTACCTTGTTCGGTGATAGAAATAGGGCAGAAGCAGGTGAGACCTCACTGAACATACTTTTTAAAAATATATATATATTTTACTGATTTTAGAGAGGGAGAGGGAGATAGAAACATCAATGATGAGAGAGAACCATTGATGGGCTGCCTCCTTCCTGCACGACCCCTACTGAGGATCGAGCTGACAACCCAGGCATGTGCCTTTGGCTGCAATAAAACGAGGGGCCCTTCAGTCTGCAGGCCGTCGCTCTATCTATTGAGCCAAACCAGCTAGGGCAGAACATATCTTTCTGAAATTTTTTCTTTGCAACCAAATAGTCATTTTACATAGTCGCAAGGGTTGGGGGGGAGGAGGGTAGTGGAGGAGGAAAGTACTCTCTCCCATTTCCCCAACCTGCACCCAATTTCTGTTAATTCCTATAGGCAGGCCTCACCAGCCATTCATTGCACTCTATCAGATCACCTTTGTCTGATCTGCAGAGCCCTTCAAAACCCAATTGGGAGAATCACTTTTAGAAGGTTCTCATCTTCCTACTGTATGAACATCTCTACATAACTAACGATCTGATAGGTAGTATTAATTTCACTAACTCGTCTGGAGAGATGGGACAGGTAGGAGGCCATGAAAGGAAAGTTTTGTGGCTATTTCCACACCTCCTAGATTCATAGCCTCCCTGCACACACAGTGTTGACCAGTCCTTTCTCTCCACTCATCTTCCAAGAAGTTTCAGGCTCTCTTGGGATTCATGCCAACAGAGAAGATAAGACAGGAAAACAGGAAGCCAGGCCTTATGATTTCTGGGTTTACTGATCCTACCCAACCTCCAGTTTCAGTTCTGTCTGACCAGGGCAAGGCAGGTGGCCTTGTCCACAAGACCCAGGAGGGAGGCTGCTGCACCAGGATACTCACTGGCAAGGAGGTAGACGATGTCACGCTGCTAACTGCACTGGGCTTCAGGGAGGAGGTCAGTAACTTGGCCACTCCCTGGGTCCCACCACTAGAATCTCCACTTGGACCCCCCGGAGGGGCCACCAGGGTCAGCTTCTGGGAAACAGATGGTTTTTTCACTGCAGAGCCTGGGACAGGTCGGCTGGCAGGCTGTCCTGTAGAGGCAGGCTGTGCACCGGGGAGCAGATTCCCGGAAGTGGAGCTCTGGACTGGTGTTCCTACAGAAGAGCTGCCAGAAGAAATCCCATGTTTGGAGATAGAGCCGGCAAAAGGGCTATTCTTATAAGATGGCCCTGAGGAGCTGGCTGAGTGCTGTTTTGCTGGATGGCTCAGGGCAGCGGAGGACAAGGCTGGGGTCTTATGAGAACTACTGCTGGAGGCTGGCGTGCCTCCTGAAGAGGCTGGTGTGGAGGAATGGAAGCTCTGGCCTTTGGCTGCCGTCTTCATAAGCTGCATGAAGGAACGATGACACTGTGGGGAAGAAGGCTTTGGGCCTTGGAGTTTACTGACAAATGGAGCTGGGGGCGTGAAACTCTTTTGTTGTTGAGTGCCTGCATGAAAGACTTTTACTTGGGGGCCAGGCACGGGAGCTGCTGTCTGGGGTGCATGAGACGTCCGTGGCAAACCATGGTGTTTCGCTTTGGACTGGTGCCCTTCTGGCAGGCTCTTGCTCAGGGAAACCTGACAGGACAGCTCTTTATAGCCAGAACTCTCTGGTTTTTTCTCCTGAGAGGACTGCCCTAGTGCCAGAGCCTGTTCAGCCAGAAAATTGAGGGGTGACTGCAAAGAGCTGGAGGGTGGTGGGGCAGAAGGGCTAGCCTTCGGAAAGTTCCTTTTTTCTTCCGTACTTGAAACACCTGCAACTTTTTCTGCAGGCACTTTTGAGGGTGCAGGCAATGTGAACTCGGAGCTCCCACTTGCTCTGCTGTTCAGCGCAGCCAGTTCCTTCGACACAGCCTCCAATGAGGAGGCTGAATTATGGATCAAGTCTCCATCCAACGAGTTCTCCAGGCTGACAGGAACAGGATTCGTTTGGCTGCCCAAAGCCTGGGACGAAAGCTCCCTGTTTGCAGCTCCAGAATTCAGGCCTCCTCCTGGGTGTTCTGAAGGCAAAGCTAGTGGGCCGCCAATCTGGCCTGATGAGACGGAAACCTTTTTATCAGGTTTAATAGATGATTCCTAAAGGAAAGTAGAAATGCTGATGTTAAGAAATGCCAACACTGGTCCTGTTGTAAGAATGCATAGGTGAGAATACCACAAGGTCCCAAGAATTGGGCCTTCCTATGCAATCACAAATAAGGGGGACAAGCGCAGTTGACAAGCCTGTGTAGATGTGAACACGTCCATCTGGCTGGGCCTGGGCTTACCCAAGCATGTTCTGTTGATAAGTACACATGAACCCACAGGGAAATGCTTCTTTTCTCTGTTTTTGGAAAAAAATACAAGACTTGACCAAAGACCCTGCTGGCACACACACTATCTCAGAATGCTCCTCACTGTAATCAGAAAAGGATGCATGGCATGAAAACTGCCTTGAACTAGTTTTGTTTTCTTCCTTGATTTTTCCTAGCACCTGTCTCCTCAGGTGGTTCAAAAGAAAGTCCTTTCATGGGATAAAAATGGGAGCAATCTAAGTGCTCAATGCAGTGTGACTGAGACATTGCAGAAGCTCAACAAATACTTAGAAATAATCAATGTACATAGCTTATTCTCCCATATAGTTCTGGTATAGTTAAAGGCACTATAAAGCCTCAGGAATTGATAACATTTTAGTAAAACAGCAATTCCTACTAGATTGAGAGGTTTTTGTAATATCTAAGCTAATTTTCAGTTTCTATTCTCTAAACACTGTACTTCCTTTCATTTCTGCTACTCAAACTCAATAAAGCCACCTGTCCTTTCCGTTGTAGCTCCAGCCTAACCCACACTTGGCTAGGAGTGTGTTCTTCCATAAAAATATCTTTATCATGGTATAATACCCTTACATATGCAGGGGCTTTTCAGGCCTCAGACAGCTGTCAGGAAGACCTCATTTAATCCCACAACCACCTTAGGAACTGGCCAGGTGGGTACTGCTTCCTTGAACTAAGGATAGATGGTACTAAGTGCCCCAGCTCAGGTCTCTGCCCTGCCAACAACCCAAGGCCCCTCTGGTGGACCTGGCCTGCTTCTTGGTATGATCTCAAGAATTCCATCCTGAAGAGTTGTTCCCCAGAGCAGCAAAGCTCAATGAGCTGCCATCATTATTCAAAAGGTATCATAAGCATAGCTGGAGAGAGAGGAGAACAGATGGTCATGATCTGAGGATGCTGACTCACCTTCACCTTGATTTTGGAAGGAGCCATTACTTTCTTCTTGGCCCTGAACAAAAGAATGAACACAGAAAAGGTTTAGAGGAGATCCACCAAAGAGATAAAAATGGCAGTTGTCTTGAGAAATGAAAACCCTGAGACACTCACAGGATTGATGTCAGGTGCCCATGGCCTCGTCTGCTCTCCTTAAACAGAGTCCTAAAACAAACAGATAACAGGGTGGAGTTTGCATAAGCCCCCTGAAAACAGAGACCTTGTTTCTAGAGCTCCCTACCATTCCTGGTACTCAGTAACTATTACTAATTAAATGTCAGAGCACTAGTGACTTCATTGCTGATGAGAAGATCAAAAGTGGATGTGCTGACCACCTGAAAGGCAAGAATCTAAGATTTACCAAAAAGCTATGGCTCTCCTGGCCAATGTGGCTCAGTTTGATTCCTGGTCAGGGCACATGCCCAGGTTGCGGGTTCAATCTCCAGTGGGGTGGCTTGCAGGAGGCAGCCAATCAATGTTGACGTTTCTCTTTCTCTCTCCCTCTCTAAAATAATAAAATCATATTAATTAAAAAAAAAAAAAAAAGCTAAGATTCTACATCCAAACCTCTCTTAGTGATGTTTCCCCTGAAGGCAGGAGAGTTTTCCTTGATGCCCATTCTCTTCTTCTAGGAGTGAAATGTGGAGTGACCCACAATATGTCTCTTTCCAGAGAAACTCAACAAAATGATCGTTATGCCCTTCCCTTCATACCTTCCAAAGTCCAATCTCTAAGGAGAGAAGAGCAATCCCATTTACAGATGGAATACTGAAACAAGAAAAGGCTCCATGATTTGCCCAACCCACAAAAAATCAGGTCCAATCAAGAACTTAAGCTCCAGGGGAGGATTCTGGAAAGTTGGCAGAGTAGAAAGCACTAGAATTAATCCTCTCTCCATCCTGGACAACAACTGCTTTGGCAGAATCTCTCTGAAATAACTATTTTGGAGCTCTTAAAATTGATCAAAGCTGGGAGCTTCCAAAGGACTTGGGGGTAAATTGTGGGGTTATTTCAGCACTTAGCACAATAGCAGCTACCCAACTCTTAACCCTATAGCAGGTAGCTGTGCACCTGTTCCCAAAGTAGTTTGCAGGAACTGAGGTGGGCAAAAGGACCTTCTCCTACAACTCTCAGGATATGTGCTCTAATTATTGATTGTTCCTTCTGTTCATAGAGAGCAGCCATTGTTGTTTCTCTTCCCACCATTGTGAAACTCTGCATCTCTGGTTCAAGTGATTTCTAGGAGATTTAAAGGGCCAGTGCCTTTTTTTAAACACCATTTTTCAATTTTCCCCTTTTAGAAGCTTAACATTAAAGACTAGGATATTCAAAACAACTGCATACATGGATAAAATTAGAAAGTAACTATGCATATCCAAGGAAAAGCTGAGAAAAGATTTAAGAAAACATTAAATCTACACTTCAGGCTTCTTGTTGATACACAGACTACCTACAATGATAAAAATAAGTAAATAAATAATAATTTAAAAAAGAGAGTTCAAGTTCAAGTGGTAGTCGAAAGTGGACCCCAGAGAGCCCTGAGCAGCCCCACTGCTACCACAGAGCTAGTTATCATCATACCCTGGGAGAACCATAGCTGCCACAGCCAGCCCCAATCACCATCACCATAACCATGAGCGGGGAGGCCAAGACCCAGCAGTATCCCCACTGCCCCCCTCTAGCTCTGCCAACACCAAGCCTAGCACCACAGGCAGCGCCCAACAGCCAGGGCAGCCTCACATCACTGGGGGACAAGAAGCTTATTGCAACAAAGGTTTTAGAATCAGTAAAATGGTTCAATGTAAGAAACAGATATGATTTCATCAACAGGAATGACACCCAAGGAAGATGTATTGTACACAAGGTTGCCATAAAGAAGAACCCCAGGAAGTACCTTTGCAATGTAGGATATGGAAAGACTGTGGAGTTTGATGTTGTTGAAGGAGTAAAGGTTATGGAGGCAGCAAAATGCCTTGGTGGATTTCCAGTCAAGGCAGTAAATATGCAGCAGACCATAACCATTACAGACACTATCCACATCGCAGGGGTCCTCCATGCAATTATCAGAATAGTGAAAGTGGGGAAAAGAATGAGGGATAGGAGAGAGCTCCTGAAGGCCAGGCCCAACAGCACTGGCCCTATCCCACACAGCCTACCCCAGGTGATGGTTACCACTGTATTATATGCATAGACCTTTTGGGCATCACCCACGGTATTCCAACCTTCCTGTGCATGGATAAGTAATGGAGGGTGCTGAAAACCAGGGTGCAGGTGAATAAGGTAGACCAGTGAGACAGATTATGTATCGGGACTATAGACCATGATTTTACAGGGTCTCTCCTCGCCAAAGAAAGCCTAGGGAGGATGGCAATGAAGAAGATAAGGAAAATCAAGGAAGGTCAGCAGCCACCTCAAAGTTGGTACTGCCACAACTTCAATTACTAAAGCAGATGGCCAGAAAATTCTAAACCACAAGAAGGCAAAGAGACAAAAGCAGTCAATCCACCAGCTGAGAATCTGTCTGCTCTCTAGGCTGAGCAGGGAGGGCTGAGTAAATGCAGGCTTACCCTCTCTATCATTCAACAAGAAGAAATACATGAAATGAAATTCCTGTAATAGCCAAAACCCGTTTGGCTCAGTGGATAGAGCGTCGGCCTGCGGACTGAAAGGTCCCGGGTTCGATTCCGGTCAAGGACATGTACCTTGGTTGCGGGCACATCCCCAGTGGGGGGTGTGCAAGAGGCAGCTGGTCAATGTATCTCTCTCATCGACGTTTCTAACTCTCTATCCCTCTCAATTCCTCTGTGTAAAATCAATCAATAAAATATATATTAAAAAAAAACAAGTCCCCACCCTCAATACATGCACACTCACATAATCACATACTCAAAAAAATAAATAAATAAAATTCCAGTATTAAGGAATGAACAAAAGATTAAAGTTAAAGACCTTAAGTGCTTGCTTTTTGTTTCTTGACCAGATAACTAGAACTATCTGCATTTTTTATGCAGCATGGGGTTTTAAAGATGTCTCTTTTTTGGTAATGACAAACAATATGGTTTAAAATTTTTTTTTAAATGTTCAAATATTACCAGTTCCTTTCCTTTAAAAAAATATTTTTGTTGATTTCAGAGAGGAAGGGAGAAGGAGAGAGAAACATCAGTGATGAGAATCATTGATCAGCTGTCTCATGTATGCGCCCCACACTGGGAATAGAGTACACAATCTGGGCTCCAATTCCTGGGAATTGAACTGTAACCTTATGATTCATAATTCAACGCTCAACCATTGAGCCACGGTGGCTGGCAACAAATGTGGTTTGTTTTTTTTAAAAATATATTTTATTGATTTTTTACAGAGAGGAAGGGAGAGAGAGAGCTTGAAACATCGATGAGAAACATTGACCAGCTGCCTATTGCACACCCCCTACCAGGAATGTGCCCGCAACCAAGGTACATGCCCTTGACAGGAATCGAACCTGGGACTTTTCAGTCCGCAAACTGAAGCTCTACCACTGAGCCAAACCAGTTTCGGCAACAAATGTGTTGTTGTTTTTTTAAAGCCTGCAAAAAAAAAGCAGGAGCTGGCCTCAGCATACCTTATACTTCTCGATAGGTGGCCCCTGGCCTAACACTAACAGCAGCCTGCCTTGATTCACAGCTTGGCATCTCCTGGGCACCTCCAAGCCCATCACAAGTAGCAACCACCTGCAGATAGCTTTGTAGCTCTTGTCAGTGGCCCCAGGCAAGGCACAGGCAGTACTTACTTTCCACTTCCCAGGAGGACCCCAGAGCCACTGTACCCACAGATTACACCAGATTACAACCCTACCACATCCACAAGTGACACACTTAAGGGGTGGACTCAGTGAAGCTAATTCTGCTCCATAGGGGCATCTCCTGCACAGTAGCTCTTCCGCTGGCGTCACAGATGGCCTTCACAGCCAATTGGATTGGGGGTCAATCCCGCCCAGTGACACCAACAGCAGTCAAGGATCAACTACAAGACTGTGCACACAGCCCACAGGATTGCACCTAGAGTACTCAGCTCAGGTGACCGGAGAGGCTGAGCTACTGAGCCCTATAGAACATCTACTACACAGGGCCACTTTACAATTCTAGGAGACAGCAGCTCTAATACATAGAAACAAACACAGGGAAGCAAAAAAATGCAGAGACAAACAAATGAAAGGACAGAAGAAATCTCCAGAAAAAGAATTAAATGAAATGGAAAGGTCTCTGCAAGAAAACTACCAAATAGAGTTCGAAACATTACTTATAAGGATGCTCGAGAAACTAATGAGAACTTCAAGGAATTTAGAACATCAACAACATAAAAATAAAAAAAATTAAAAAAAAAGACCAGTCAGAAATGAAGGATAATTTACAGGGAATCGACAGTAGAGTAAGAGGATAGCGAGAATCAAATCAACGATTTGGAATATGATATGAGGAAGCAAAAAAAACACCAACCAGAAGAGCAAAAAGAAAAAAATCCAAAATTATGAAGATAGTGTAAGGAGCCTCTGGGACAACTTCAAGAGTACCAACATTTACATCATAGGGTGCTGGAAGGAGGAGGAGGAGTAAGAAATTGAAAACTACCCTGACTGGTTTGGCTCAGTGGTTATCGAGTGTCAGCCCTTGGACCAAAGGGTTTCAGGTTCAATTCCAGGTCCAGGACACATAGCTTGGTTGCAGGTCCCCAGCCCTGGTAGGAGCATGTGCAGAAAGCAACCAATCAATATCTTTCTCTCACACTGATGTTTCTTTCTTCCTCTTTTCCTCTCTCTACCTTCTACCTCCTCCTATCTCTAAAAATCAATGGAAAAAATATCCTTGGGTGAGGATTAAAGAACAAGAAAGACAAGACATTAAAAACCTATTTGAGAAAATAATGACAGAACCCTAGGCCAGCATGGTTCTGTAGTAAGACCATCGGCCTGCACACCAAAGGGTTGCAGGTTCAATTCCCAGTCAAGAGCACATATCTGGGTTGCAGGCCTGATATCTGCCCCTGGTTGGGGCACATGTGGGAGGAAACCAATAGATGTATCTCTTACACATAGATATTTCTCTTTGTTCCCCTTTCTCCCTCTCTTCCACTCTAAAAATCAATGGAGCCCAGCAGCCATGGCTCAGTGGTTAAATGTCGACCTATGAACAAGGAGGTCAAAGTTCAATTTCCAGTCAGGGCATATGCCCACATTGTAGGCTCAAACCCCAGGTGGGGTGTACAGGAGGCAACCTATCAATGATTCTATCTCATCGCTGATATCTCTCTCTCTCTCTCTCTCTCTCTCTCTCTCTCTTCCCTCCCTCCCACCCTCCCTCCTTCCTTTTCTCCCTCTCTCCCTCCCTCCCCCCTTCCTCTCTGAAATCAATAAAAAAATATATATTTTCAAATAAATGAGAAAAATATCCTCACTCCTTGATTGTTGGCAAATGAGAAAAAGGAACCCTTATTTACCAATTAGCAAACTGAATTCAGGGATTCTAAATTGGTGCAGTCATTAGAAAACAGTAAGAAGGTTCCTCAAAAAATTAAAAATAGAACTACCACATAACCCAGCATTTTCACTTCTGGGTATTTACCCAAAGACAGCCAAACACTAAATCAAAAAGATATATGCTCCTCTGTGTTCATCACAGCATTATTTACAATGGCCAAGATGTGAAAATAATCCAAATGTTCATCCACAGACAAATGGATAAAGAAGATGTGGTTCATACATAAAATGGAATATTAATCAGCCATAAAAATGAAAGAAATCTTGCCATTGTGACATGGATGGACCCACATGGTATTGTGCTTAAGGAAATAAATCAGACAGAGAAAGATATATACCATATCATTTCACATATATGTGGAATCTAAAAAAAAAGAACAAGAAAAAGAAATGAACAAACAAAATAGAAACTGACAAATACAGAGAACAAACTGTTAGTCACCAAGTAGGAGGTGGATTGGTGGGAAATAAGTGAAAAAGGTGAAAGGGATTAAGAAGAACAAATTGCCAGTTATAAAAACAGTCACATGGATGTAAAGTACAGCATAGAGAAATACCCAATAACATTGTAATAATCATGTATGGTGTCCAGATGGTACTAGACTTACTATGGAGATCACTTTGTAAGATATGTAAATGCCTCATCCCTATGTTTTACATCTGAAATTAATAATAATGTATGTCAAATATAATTGAAAAATAAATTTTAAATTAAACTTGCTGGGTACCTCTGCCCTGCCAGCTCCAAGTCATTACAATGATAGCCTTCCTACTCCAGCAAGGACAAGTTGGAGCGCTGAGGACTATGCTTCCACAAGGCACTTGCTCTTACAGCTTATCTCTTTGTAGAAACCAGAGTGACAAGGATCTCTGCCACTAAATCTCAAGAAATAAAGCCCACCAAAAATGCCAGCACGAGCAACTACACCTATTGAATTGTTTGACAACATCAACTACAAGAATCTCCAGCATCATTACTACACCATGAACACCTTCTTAGACCTAAACCTGTACCTCTTGAAATTTTGGTTGCCTGAGCCCTCTTCCAGATGAGTCTCCTTGCCATTCAGAGTTTAGTTTAATGATTACCCTTACATCATCTGCTGCATTCTTGCCTGCAAAATAAAGTCCACTCAAGTGGCATTGAGATTTTGATAGGGATTGCATTGAATCTGTAGAACAGAGCATTGGCCTTCAGAATGAAGGGTGCCAGGTTTGATTCTGGTCAGGGAACATGCCTAGGTTGCGGAATCGATCCCCAGTGGAGGTTGTGTTGGAGGCAGCCAATCAATGATTCTCTCTCATCACTGATATTTTCCATCTCTCTCTCCCTCTTCCTTCCTCTTTAAAATCAATAAAAAAATATATATATTTAAAAAAGACTCAAATTATCAAAAGCAGAAAGTGGGGACATTAAAAAAGAACAAATAGCCTTAGCTGGTGTGATCAATGGTTAGAGCATCGGCCCACTCACTGAAGGGTTGCAGGTTCCACCCCCAGCCCAGTGGGGATGCATGGGGGAGGCAACCAATTGATGTGTCTCTCACATCAATGTTTCTCTCTTTCTCTCTTTCTGTCTCTATCTCTCTCCCTCCTTTCCACTCTCTCTTAGAAAATCAATGGAAAAAATATCCTCAGATGATTTTTTAAAAAGGTTGAGATAATAAATTTTATGTTAAGTATATTTTATCACAATAAAACACTTTTTTAAAATATATTTTATTGATTTTTTTCAGAGAGGAAGGGAGAGAGATAGAGAGCTAGAAACGTCGATGAGAGAGAAACGTTGACCAGCTGCCTCTTGCACACCCCCTACTAGGGATGTGCCCGCAACCAACGTACATGCCCCTGACCAGAATCGAACCTGGGACCTTTTAGTCCACAGACTGATGCTCTACCACTGAGCCAAACTGGTTTCGGCACAATAAAACATTTTAAAAAAAGAACACTAGCTCCAGCTAACTCTGGGTATTGCAGATATAGCCTATTCATGGAAAGCTACATCAATACAAAGCAGCCTATGAGAAATCTTGCAAATGAGACTTCTGTTTGGAACATTAAGATATTTCCATCTCTCAGCTTCCAGTAAGAGCCATCATCTCAACACAGGAAAAAGCAGACTAAAGTGGGAAGGAAGAACATGGAGCCTCAATTCCTCATGCTTCCCAACTCCTCATGTGAAATTAGAGTTGAGTCAACCAGACAGTGGATCCCTGAGAGAAGGAACCATATTGATCTGGCACAATAGAAGAACTCAAATATTTTTTTGCTATAAGAATATTCCTCCTCATCGTCACACTGACCATATGGCTATTCATGGGCACTCACCTGGCCTGCATCCAGCCTTTAGGCCAGAGAGGTCTGACCTCAGCATCCAGAAACACCTTCACATAATCTTCCCAAGAATGGACTTTGTTGTTCTTCTCATCATAGTTCTCCAGTTTTATCTTCACCACCCGGCAGAGCAGCTCCCTAAGGAGTAGGCAAGAGTCAGAAACTTCAAACTACCCCAAATGCTTCTTCAAGGTTTTAATCATGTGCTTTCACCAGTCCTGATTAAAGTAAATGATTCTAACCTTCATTAGAAATACGGGAACATGCTCAGACACTGGCCCCACAAACCCTCCAATGAGGCAAGGACCCAGTTTGGGCACACCTGATTTCATCATTCCACTGAAATTTCTTCCGGGGTCCCATTATCCTCCTGCCCCCCTTTTCTTCATCTTCTTCCTCATCAGAACAAATCCGTTCTTTCTGCTCCTTGTCTTTCTCCTCCTCCAGCATCCTACCGGGTGAACAGAATTAAACAGGACCCTAAAGTCACCACAGGAAAACTACTCCCTCCTGTGTCCACTGCCTCCCTTTTGTCCCCACCCCCTTCCCCTGGGACCTCTAAGATAAGGAGATGGGAATGCTGATGAGAGCGATGGGACATACTTACTTAGCAACCTTGGCTTGTGTATGGGCCTGGCATTCATCTTGGTACCTGGCCATCTGCTCTGGCATTGCCCTGCCAATGGCTTCCTTAAGCTTCTGGAGAGGTTCCTTCAGACGCCCTCCCTGCAGAGAGCAGGACATATCATAAATCTGTTTTATGTACCTCTTTTAAAAAATATATATTTTATTGATTTTTTTTTTTATAGAGAGGAAGGGAGAGGGTGAGAGCTAGAAACATTAATGAGAGAGAAACATTGATCAGCTGCCTCCTGCACACACACATACTGGGGACATGCCCGCAACCAAGGTACATGCCCTTGACCAGAATCCAACCTGGGACTCTTCAGTCCCCAGGCTGACGCTCTATCCACTGAGCCAAACCAGTTAGGGCTTATTGTACCTCTTTTTATACTGAGGACCCACTACAGAAATAATCACACAGAGGCGGTGCAGCAGCACCTGTGACATCTGTGAAGACTCAGTCACCCCTCCTCTGGGCCCCAAAGCCAACATGTTCTACTGCAGAGTCACCCACCTGTTCACAGAGGTGAAGCTTTCGAGCACGCTTGACCAGGGTGTCCTTGCTGCAGGGCAGGAATGAAGCAAGATAGGCATATACCCCAGAACGAGCCTGGCTACTCAGCTCCCGAGTTTGCACCTCTATGCTGAAGAACAGAATAGTTATCAATGGACAACAGCCCAGGCATATTCTTTCATCATTATATCACCCTACCATGGATAGGAAAGCTAAGAGCCAAGAGCAGGTAAAATCTTATCTCATCAACACAATGCAACCAAGTGGCCAGTGCAACAGATCTCCAACAGTCACCAAACAAAAATTCCCAAACCTGATGAACCTGGCTGGGTAAAGTGGCCTAAGGCTCTTAGGTCCAAGACAAGACCAAGCCAAATGTTATCAGAGCCCAGAGAAAAAGATCTGAAGTATTAAATTTCATAAATGAAAAAGACAGAAAAGCTTTCAAACTGGAAAGTAACTGAGTTACTTGGAGTCAATACTTTCTAAAAGCACTTCCTTACTATTCTAGTTCCCAGTTTTATCCCTGATCAGGAAGTCAGGGAAATTCTCATCCCTTCAGTGTCTCCATCTAGATAAATAAAACACTATTTCCAATAGTCTTTGACCCCTTGAACTCTCCCTATTTGGCACACTCTAACAGGCATTGTGGACATAAAACTCTTATCTCTGCTGATCCTCAGGTACTCTCCATATCCCAGGCTTCCTGACCTGGCCAGGCAAGGTACTTTGCTAGAATATCCCTAAGTCTTAACAACTGTTCTTACATGAGAAAAATCCTCAGCTATTGAGCAACAAGCTTCCTCTGCTACATAGCGCAAAGTGTAACCAGCAGAGAAGCGGCAAAGCTGTAGAGAGCCACCTACAAAGAATCTGGTTTGGATTTAGGTATGCAGGTTTGTTTTGTTGTTGTTGTTTTGCTTTTTAACTCAATTCATACAGTGTGGCATCTCAGAGGTTCGGGCATTTGGAAGAAGTATTACAGGATGGTACACACTGGCCCTGGTAGGAGAAGTGACAGCAAGAAAAGAATGACCAGGTACACTGAGGGGCACCCAGGAGAGCAGGCCCCTGGCTGTACCAAATCATCTTACTTTTCCCAGAGACAGGCAGGCAACACCTTTTTTTCATCTCATCTCATGTTTGCCACAAAATCCAACAGGCCATGACAGTGTCCTAATATCATCTGCTACCTATGATTAGTAAGGTCTATTATTTCCTAGGGACAAATATTTTGTGTGCCCCCCACCCCACTTAAAAAGAACAATAAAACAAAAATAATTCTTTAAATATCTCATCGGTGGTCTTTATGTAGTTCAATCACATTCCCAATCCCCTGGCCTGCTCAAACCCAGGCATGCTAACAGTAAAGAAACAAAAGATACTCACTCTAAGAGGATGCCATTAATATCCTGGGTGAAGAACTTCTGTCTGCTCTCTCCCTCAGCAGCTCTGGCAGCCTGGTTCATAGCAGACAGTAACATCCATTAGTGCACTTTCCCCACAGGATCCTCACATTCACCCACAGGCACAAGAGCAGTCAGTCCCTACAGAACACCTATCGGTAAAGTCCTCACCATGCCCACCTGTGATCACTATATGCTCTAGAAATGGTTTATCCAGCTCTTTTCAAATGCTGCTGAAACATCTATGGACTCTCTCTTCTGCCCGGGACTTGAAATAAAGTCAATAAAAGAAAATCAGAGTCAAAGCAATCATTATGCATTTGATTTTGTCAGCTAACTTTTTTTAAAATATATTTTTATTGATTTCAGAGAGAAAGGAAGAGGGAGAGAGAAACATTGATGAGCTGCCTTCTGCACATCCCATACCGGGAATCGAGCCCACAACTCAGGCATGTGCCCTTGACCAGATTTGAACCTGGGTCCCTTCAGTCTGCAGGCCAACGCTCTATCCACTGAGCAAAACCAGCTAGGGCCAGCTAGTTAACTTTTGTTCCCAGCACTCTATCATCTAAATTGCAAGTTGGAATTTCCATATATCTGCAGTACAAAAACAATCACGAACTTTTTTAAAACCTGCAATATTTGAAAACCTTTATCTACCAAAATAATAATAATGTGCAACATTAGCATTTAAGGACGTTATAATTCTCTGAAAATTCATAATCTACTTATAGTATATCCGAAACGTCATTACCCAGACCATTGAAATTACTAACATACCTTACTACCTATTAACACAAGATAGAGCAGGTTACTATGCAGTGTTTTGCTTCCTATGAGAACACAGTTAACATCTGGATGACAAGCTTGGAAATCCCTGAAGCAACCACAGCAAGTAGCCACAGCCCTGAAAGCATAGATGAGGAAAGCTAACTGCCAAAGTTAACCAGTGGTTCTCAAACTTGACTGCGCATTGGCAATCACCTGGCAGCTTTATCCACCCTGGACCAATCACATCAGAATCTCTAGGAATGAGGCTCATGAATTTGTATTCTTTTAAAAAAAGTCCAAATATCAATACTCTGATGAACAAAAACAGATCCAGAGACAGAGAAGCATTGATTAAACCAGTAGTCGGCAAACTCATTAGTCAATAGCCAAGTATCAACAGTACAACGACTGAAAACCAACTTCTGTGCATGGGCCACAAAGTTTCAATGACACTGTACGTGCATGCCCGCATGTGGTATTTTGTGGAAGAGCCACACTCAAGGGGCCGAAGAGCCGCATGTGGTTCGCAAGCCGTGGTTTGCCGACCATTGGATTAGACCATCAAACCTCATAGGGAACATAGGGGAGGGTGGCAGTAAGGGGGAGAGATCAGCTAAAAGACTTGTACGCATGCATATTGTATGCATGCATATTAAGCCCAACCAATGGACACAGACAACAGGGGGGTGAGAGCATGAATTGGGGGAGTGGGGGGTTGAAGGGGGTAATGGGATAAGGACACATATGTAATACCTTAATCAATAAAGAAAAACAAAAGTAACTCTGGTGACTCTAAGGTAGAGAGGATTGAGAGTCACTGATCTAAATCCAAGAGTGGTCCAAGGCTTTTGGCAAAGTAAAACTTCAGGCATGGTTTACAATGTAATAATGATGGCAAACAAAGGCAATAAGGTGACTACCTAAAATGAAATTGTCAATCCTGATCAAGCCCTCTGAAACAGCAGGCACCAATAACTATCCTCTACTTTCATCTCATCCCACTTGCCTTCCTCACTAGGTCCTTGTCCTATCTCTGACTACTCCATCTGTCTCTTCCACTAGTTCGTTCGTTACAGATGGACTCCCAAAGTTCTACTTAGATAGAACTCACTTCTCCCAATAACACCTTCCCTTCACAGCTTCAAAACAGCACAAATGCACATTTTAGATCTCTCTAATCTAAACCTCTAGCATAAACCTTTTTTCCTAATCCCTAATCAGAATTTCCAATTACTTCTAAGTAATTTCCAATTATATCTATAAATGGATGACCTTCTGGTATGCAAACCCAACTTGCAAAAACCAAACCCACTAGTTTCTGCTCTCCCTCTTATGCTCCCCAATTCTAATAACAGCAGTCTATTTTTCTTAAATCCTTCCACTCTTTTTTTTTCCTCTTTTAATTTTTATTGTTGAATCACCTGACCATCTGCTTGGCCATCAACACATCACAGGGCTAACAAACAAACAAAAAAAGGCCAGGGGGAAAAAAAAAATCACAGGGCTTATTTCATTGTTTTGTTCTTTTTTTTTTTTTTTTTTTTTACATGTCTCCTGGTCCATTTATATAAGCTCGTGGAGAACAAGATCTGAATCTTATTCATCAATATATTTCCCACACCTACCTATCATATAATAGATGCACAGTAAATGCCAACTGAGTGGATAGATGAATGAACAAATGAACAGATAGTAGTGATTTAAAGAATGCAAATTAGAGAAAGAAAAACTCAGTATCAACCAAACATAACTTGTAGCTTCTGCAAAATATCTTGGCTAGATGATAGCACAGACGCCTGAGATGAAAGGAGTCAAATGGATGGATGGAATGGAAGAAATGGTGTGACTTTTAACCCATTCATCTGCCAATTTCTTATACTTTCAGAAGGATCTGGAATTCTAACTTAGCACTTTTAATGTACTGCAATTATGATTTTAGTTTGAGAGAAAATAAAACCAAGCCATTCTTTTGCTTAAGCTTATACACTACTAGTTGTGAGATCCAGAAGCATCTTCATAGTATTCAACCTAATTACTTCAACATGTATTTCAAATGCTCCAGTTTATCAGACCCATCATTAAAGTTTTTTTTTCCTGATGCCTTTTGGGTTGCGTAGACAGTATCTCTGAGGGTCTGTTTTTATATTGAAGATAATTAGTCAAGTGCTACATTTTTATTTTTTAAAGATTTTTTTAATTTTTATTTTACTGATTTTTAGAGCAAGTGGAAGGGAAAGAGAGAGAGAAATATCAATGTGAGAGCAAAACATCAATCAGCTGCCTCCTGCACACCCACTATGGGTGAATCGAGCCTGCATGTGCCGTGACCTGGAATTGAACCACATGGCAACCTTTTGGTACATAGGATAATGCCCAACCAACTGAGTCAGCCATACTGGCCAGGCCAGGTGCTGCATTTTAAAATAAATCTAATTAAAGTAGCAATTGGATATCCATCAGATAGTCTTCCAGAAATAAGTTAGGTCCTTCAACCTTAAGGGACATCCTTGCCCAAGGAGTTGAATGAATTGATCAATCCCAGATTAAACAGAAAGTAAGCCTGGCCAGCATGGCTCAGTGGTTGAGCGTTGGCCTATGAACCAGGAGGTCACAGTTCAATTCCCCATCAGAGGTTGTGGGCTTGATCCCGAGTGGGGCATGCAGGAGGCAGGTGATCAATGATTCTCTCTCATACTGATTTTTCTATCTTTTTCTCCCACTCCTTTCCTCTCTGAAATCAATAATAATAATTTAAAAAAACATTAAAAAAATAATAGGAAGTAAAGTTAAGCCAGCCAGATCATGCTGATCTACAATAGTTCTGATAGCCTTTTAATAAGCTGTTTTATTTATTGTAAGAAAAGCTACTTATAACCGTTCGGCACCTAGTTCAGAATCTCATATACTGTACCTGTTTTTGCTGAACAGAATGAAATCTGTCATCATTTTTTTTAAAGAAGATCAAACAGGTTAGTTTTTTTCCAACCTTATCCTCCTTGAATCCATGTCTCCCTAGATTTGCAATGTAGGGGTTCTAAATCAGTAGGACAGAAAGCAGGTAAGAGCAGCAGGATGGGTGACATGGGGTCTTTGTTTCTTTTCTAGTCATAGTATTGTTCCCATTTTATGCTTGACTATAGAGGACCAAAACAGACCTGGGTTATCTGTAGGAACCAGGCTGAGAGGCTGCCAAACTAAAGATAATAACCTAAGGGGGCAACACACCTGAGCTTTCCAACAACCAAAATAAAAGACACATTGAATGAAATCACTGGATTCTCTGGGGCCACAAAAATGTACAGTTCAAGGGAGTAAGGAATTAAAAATGGGTATGAGAAGAAAGCAGTAAGTAATCTATGGGCAGCATTCTCCAAGGTCACCCTCTTGGAGGGCCTCTTTAGCATACTTAAACTTCCAAATATATTTTTCAAAGTTTTAAGTATCACTTCTTGCTAAAAGATAAATCTATTTTTTGTTTCCCACAGAAAAAAATTTTCCATAAGGGATGACATCAGATTAGAATCTGCTTATGTGCTGTAGTAGACCTCAAACAGGACCACATTTCTCTCCCCTCCCAGAACATGCATTCCTGCAGCAGGGAGAGGTGGTCTCTAGTTCCCCAACCCTCCAATTTGGTGTGTACTTGTGAATCACTTGACCAATACAGTGTGGCAAAAGTGATGCGGTACATACAACTTCTAAGGCTAGATCTTAAGAGCCTTATGACTTCTACAATTACCCTTTTGAAATATTTCCCTAAAACTGCCATGCGCTGAAAAAAGACTAGGAAGACCAGAGGAGAGAGAGGCCCCACCACCCCAGCACCCAGCCATCTTGCCAGCTGAGTGCAGGTACAAGAGAGCACCCAGGTAGGACAAAGAAGAACCACCCAGCCATCCATAGAGTCAGGAGAAATGAATTGCTGTTTCAAGTCACTGTTTGGGATAATTTTTTAGTTAACAGTAGAAACTGATACATGTATCATCTAAGGCCAAGATTTAAAATCTAAACAAATTATTAAAATAAAAGAAGAAAAAAAAGAAAAATGAAGGGAGTGATAAATACATAACATTGCTAATGTTATAGTTATATACATCCAGTTTAATTTAAGCTTTTAAAATGCAATATCCAGTTCAAGATCTAGGATAGGGCTCCTTATTAAGGATCCAAATACCCATGTATGGCTTTTGAAATTATATGCAATTCCTGTGTACATAGGCATTTTTCCCTAGGAAGACTATCTTTCCCAGCAGATTCTCAGGAAGGTCTGGGTCTAGAGCACTCATGCACATGGTCTGGAGACTCCAAGTGTCCCAAGTGCAGGACCCTGTAGGAACAAAGCACCTGGGGATCCTTAGAAGTGGTATTAAGTAACTTTCTAAAATAAGCCTTCTTTTTCATGCAACAATTAAAAGTGATGAGGGCTTTATCATATTTATTAAGTGAAGAAAGCAGGAAACAAGTATTCACATCTATAATTACAACTACATGAAAACATATACACAAAGAGGCTAGAAAAGAATATGTAAATTAAAAAGTTTTCAGATTGTCAGGATGATGGGTAATTCCCACTTCCCACTTCCCAAAGTTTCTTTAATGCTGTTATAGAAGCGTCAGAAAATGACGTATCAATTTCACATTTGAACATTATATTTTCAAGCCAGTACATCAAACTCTCCTGGTCACCACTGCCCCACCAGAACCAAAGCCTACCTTACCTATGGAATCCTGAACTCTCTCTTCATTGTGCCCAAGAGAAAACCGAGACTTGCCAGTCACTGAGGAAGGACAGCTTGCTCACAGTGTCCATCCAGAAAGTGAGGCTTTCTTGAATCACAGCCCAATGCAGTTCAATGTTATGTCACTTTGTTTCCACTAAATTTGTCCATCTTTCCCAAGAAAGGGAAATAATGAGTATGAGTCATTAGACTAGAATACAACCTGTGGTGGAAGTCTGGACACATCCAAGAAATACTCTGACTTTTCTCCAAAAATCTACTAGTGTCTGCCACACATACCTTATTCAACTTACTTAACATGACTTTCAGATGCTACAAAACAATTTGATTACAAACTGGAGGTTTGAAAAGAACAAGGAGTAATAGTTCTTTGACATAAATTCTGAGAGTAAATATAGGACAGTATGCTCAAACATGCCAAGTTCAGATTCAACTGCTTCCAACTTAATGTCCTAATAAGGTATACTCTGAATTTCTGGTGTGGTACAATTCATTTAAATCATTACATTCAAATAGAACGCCTCACACAAACTAATAAAAATAAATAGTTTAATTTACTTCATATATTGTATTCAAATATTTTTTGGAAGTGAGAAAATCATTGGTAGCACTAGTTAACATTTACCCTGCCCTAAAACACAAGGGGTATTATAGCTATAGTGATTCTGGAACATCATGAGAATCACTGATTCAAAACTTACAGCTATATAAAATAAAATAAAAACCTTACAGCTATGTAGTATAAATGCCACAGGAGCTACATGACAAGCCATGATGCCCAAGATGAAAGGTTATTTTAACTGAAGGGTCAATGTCATCATGACTAACAACCCATGCTTGTTTATAGGTTACTGAATTAGGGATCAATTCCCAGTCACCATGGGAAAATAGCAATGGCTGCTCGTTCTGACAGTTGTTGCTGTTTTTAAAAGAGCATGAAGAGCATTTCAGATTCTGCTTTTTATTTATCACCATGTAGGCATTCTGTAATCAGTACCTAACATTGATGATATGCAAGTTTAAGGAGCAACTGAAACTCAGTGGCAATTAAGTATAAAACTCTATAACACGTCTGCAAACTTTTGTCAATTTCCAAAAATCTTCAACCGATTACTAATAAAAAGGTGGATCTCTGCCTTAGCTGCTTGCTGCCAACATTAGTGTCAGTCTATCACACAAAAGGAAAGTTACTCCGTGGGAAAGGAACCTACAGGCAGAAAATAGAGAGAAAAATCTCCCCAGAAGAAAGTAAATTTTCTAAGAGTTAAAGAACCACAAAAGGTCTAAAAATGACATCTGACAAGCCGAGCTTACACTGTTTCCTCACTTGGGATGAGAAGAGAGCCTGGAAAAGATTACAGTAAAATTGCCAATTCACTAAGAGTTGCTCTGGGCAGCAAGCTTCATGCGGTGCAGAACCAGTGTCAATCTGCCCAAACTGCTTCCAGGAAAGCCTGGCCACTCTGTGTCACCATACCTGAGCCAGCTCCTTAATGCGCTTCTCCAGGGGTGCAGGCAGGCCTTCAGGGAGGGAAGAGGGCTGCCTGAATTCCTGGTCCAGTCCCACCCCAAGGGAATCGCTTTCATCATCCATATCGCGGAAGGGGCTTCCTTCTGGAGACTCACTGAGCAGATGCTCCAAGTCCAAATCAGTCAGTGAGTCCATGGCAGTGGCTGCCTGAAGCAAGTCATTGTCAGAAGTGGAGCCGAAGAGCGACAGCAAAGGGTCAGAGGTGCCCTCCAATTCCCGTAAGCCCTGAGCTTCTGCTGACGAGACCGCTACAGACTTATGCTCTTCATTCCTCTTTCTCTGAGCCTCTTTATCCTTATGAAATCTCTTTAGCATCTCTTTAACATTCAAAGCCCCAGAATATTTCTTTTTTTTCTTCTCTTTACTGGCATTGAGGGCTGTGAAGCTGCAAGTAAGGAGGAAACTGGTTACTAAGGCTGCAGTACACTTCAAAAGGGAAATTCACAGAGGAACTTCATTTACCCCTGTCCCCAACACAGTGGTCTCCAGGAACCTAAGTCCACCCTGTTATTCCTCCTCCCTCCTCTTGGCACATGAACTTCCTTCTTACTGGGACCAAAGCTTGAGATTTAATACAGGTTAGCAAAATCGTGTCACAAAGTGCTACACACCCAGTGGCTTTCAAAAAACACTGCCAGGTTGAAATAAAAGGATGAAAAAAGGGGATGAAAAAAGAATGTATTTAAAGGAAGAAAACAGGAGCAGCAGCAACTTGAAGGGCAGCTGGGGTGAGACTGAGTGAGGCAAAAAAAGCAGAACCAGAGAAGACAAAGGGAAACAGCAGAGATAGAAGGAAAACTGGGGCAAAGGAGATGTGCCCAAGAGAATAAGAGATAGCAGCAATCATACAGTGACCGAAACCGCTGCCAATACTGACACTGAGACAGAGAGAACTCTGGATGTCTGACACAAAGAGATGTGAGAGCACTGTAAGAGGTGAGAGGGGGAATGGAAGGCCAGGCCCAGCTGCCTCATCTGCAGCTGAGAGGAGGAGCACAAGTCAGCTCCCAGGTGTCCTGCTCTAATAGTTCAGATTTTATTCTAGAAAAGAAGCTCCTGCCTCTCACCCGGCTTTGGAAAACTTGGACTTTTTCGATTTCTTCTCCTTGTCGTAAGTGTCATCTTTTTTCTTCTTCTTTATCTTTTCACCACCTTCCTTCAACTTCCGCTTCTGAGAATTAAAGACAAGGGACAGTTACATGGCTCCCTCACTCAGGAAGCAAGTACACGACAGAATACTGGCCTTGCTCTGTCCAGGGCATATCCTGAGAACTCTCCTACTTTGTTCTTTCATGAACAAAAGCTTTTAGATCAGTTCCTGGACCAAAGACCAGTGGCAGGTCAATACAGCATTTCCACCAATAAGTGTCTCCTAGAAGCACCTGGGGCTGAGTCAACAGTGGCCATTGTAGAGCCAGAAACCTTTCTAGTTTGAAATGGGCTATATGTGGGACCTGCCTCTGTTAAACACACAGGCAGTGATAGATTTCAAAATAAACTTATCTTAAGGCTAACTTGTTTCTACTGGGTGACACCCCTAGAAACTGAAGACTTCTACAGGTCCTCAGAAGAGAACAGCAATACTGATGCAAACTCCCCCCACCCTTCACTGCGCTCATCCCCATCCTGAGACAACCTTAAGAAATCCTTGCCAAGCCAAGCCTGCTGGGACTCACAGTATCTCCCCACAGCACACGTGTGAGAGAACTGTCAACCTTGGCACAGCTCGTGCCTTTCTGTCAATCCCCTAAGCTTTCCTAAATCGGCACATATTCTAGCAAGTCACCCACTGAACTCACGTTTATTTTAAAAAAGCACTTCTGAAATTCAAATGCAAGCAATGTTCTAACCTTTGGAGATTTTTTCTTCTTTTCTTTAATAAAGTCATCCTCAGATTCTGATGCTTGTCGAAATTGCAGGGTTCCTGAGTTAATGTAAAATCCTCCATACTTTGTAGTCAAAGAAGCAGGAACAAGCTCATCATACTAAAAGGGAAAAACAAATAGTCAGCTGCAATTGCTGCTACTACAGTCCAAAGATGTAAAGCTTATGTTTCCCTATCACATTTTAGACCAAATGCCTACTCATGCTTCTGGTCAGTCACCAATGTCTAAGCTAGAAGGTGTTTTGGGCAGATCGTGTATCCTTTTCAGTAAAGAAACCAAAGCCCAGATCAAGGGTATCTCTTCCTCCCTCATCAGTGCAGCTCCTTCCTCATGCTAAAGGCAGGCTCACTCTGACCCATCCCCTAGTTTCTGGGCCATTACCAGTAGGAGCAAGGATGTGGTCATTCCTATGCGGTATTTTCATTAAGTACTTACCGCCTCAGAGTTATCGATGAAGGAATCAGATTCATCATAACCATACCCCATATCAATCAAGTCCTGTAGTCGGTCTTTTCTACGTTTTTTTCCACCCTAAAATTTAAAATAGGTTATATGCTTTTTTGTTGTTGTTGTTGTTGTTGTAATTGTGGTAAGAATAAATAACAAGACCTCTTAACAAATTTTTAAGTCTAACATCACAGAATTAATTGTTGCCTTGAATTTTATCAGCTAGTGACTAAAGGATATAAAACACTCAACAGTCCCACTCCCTCTTCCCAAATCTCCTTCCATAAAGACCGTTTAAAATAGGATAGATTTGTATCTGCATAAAATGGTCTAACACAGAAGAGACTAAATGGCTTCATATGCCTTTTACCAAAATATTTATTCTAAGTATCAATTCTAGGGATAACATTTATTCTAAGGATAAATTCTAGGGGTTCATTCGTCCATTTAGCTGCATATACTAGTCCTGCCAGGTGCATTTTCTGTATCTTCATGCATTTGTTTATAACTGCATTCTGTTCTCTCCAAGCTCTACACTTGTTTCTACATCAGTGATGATTAGATGATACTCCCCTTAAAGAACTGGAAATGTTTAGAAACCTCACAAAGAGAAATCTTACATATTTTTCTTCAAATTTCCGGGCAAGGGCCTCCACTTTATGCCTTTCCTTTTCTTCATCATTAAAAGGATCCGAGAGATCTTTCTTCTGTAAAGAGACCATTTCACAAAATAAAAACTCCCACCATTACTCATAATACATTCACTGACTACTCAACACCTATGAACTATATACCAGTAACAACTGTTTTTCAGAAAAGACAAGGTAGATTACATGCTACTTCCCATCAGTGTTTACCTTAGTTGTTTAAGAAAGAAAAACTTCCATTCATGTAATTCATCAAAACAAAATGCCTACAATTACCCACCACATCACTAGGTCCCATAGAGCTCCAAATATGGCAAAGTGCCTTCAGTCAGGGATGCTCAACCTATACAGACATGTGGTTCAATATAGTTTTTTTCTTTTGTCAACTAAAAATTACTTTATATACTTTAAAACATTATTGTAAGAACGGATTCACTTCCAAAGCAGTCAGTGGCTCATAAAGGTTAAGAATTCACTGAATGTAACACAAGTTCTTAAGAATTATTGTGCTTTTTGGTCAGAAGAAGGGTATAAGTTTTTTCCTATCTCAGTTCTACTGAAAATCAAACCTAGGTTCATGGTAGTCCCTTTCTTTGGACACCTATCTTGAAGGATCAGTAATCTCTTTCCTCCCAATCTTAATACTCTCTCTGAATATTCTAAGAATAAATTATAGGGGTTCATTCGTCCATTTAGCACACTGCTGCATGCATTTTCTGTATCTTCATGCATTTGTTTATAACTGCATTCTGTTCTCTCCAAACAAATGTTCTACATTTGCTTCCACATCAGTGCTTAGGTGATACTACACTAAAAGAATGTGGAAATGTCTAGAAACCTCTCCTCCTGCCTTCCCAAAATACTACCCCATCTTCAAGTGTACTGTCTACCCTGATTTCCAACAGCTTTGATTAGCTTTGCCTATTTTTGTGTTTTATAAAGATGGAATTATACAGTATGAGCCGGAACTAGGTAAAGAGCATTTGTAAGCATCTACTATATCCTGTGCACTATGTAAGGCATTGAGGGTAGGTTGGTTGGGTCTCACACTGTAGCATTTCTCTAGAATAGCTCTTAGTCAGATGGGAATTAGGCTAGTACCTGGCTCACAGAGTGTCTGAGATCATGTTGGGTTTCTGGTGTCCTAGTAAATGTTTTATTTTGTGACATAGGCAGAGGTTACATTTGTTAAGTTTGTGGAGATCCACTAAGCTGTGCATTTATCAGGTGCACTTTTTAAAAAAACAATGTTACTGATTTTTAGAGAGAGAGAAAGGGAGAGGGGGAGAGGGAAAGAAATAAAAAGATCAATGAAAGAAAAACATCAATTGACTGATTCCTGCATGCCCCCCTCTTGGTGTTACCACGCTGGCCTGGCATACGTGCATTTTTCTTAAGTGCATAAGCTACGTATATAAAAGCCTAACATGCAAATTGTTCTGCGTGAGTTTGACCTGGAGACCAATTGCTCACTATGATGTGGGCTGACCATCAGGGGGTGGTGCGGAAGGAAGGAAGGCCTTTGCTGGCAGCCCTTAGCCGGGAAGGGAGGCCCTGGCTGCTCCGGAAGACCCTTATCGGCCAGACCTAAGGACCCTACCCTTGCATGAATTTCATGCATTGGGCTTCTAGTTAAATTAATAAGTTTATAAAAATTTTTTACAATGTTAATGAGTTATCAAAACATCAGTAATAGTTGAAACTGGATGATGAGTACATGGAGCTTATTATATAATTTTCTCTAGTTTATGCATGAGAAGTTCCATACTAAAAAGTAAAAACAAATCTGCCAAGAAAACAAATACAGTAAAACCTCAATGTAGACTAATTCAGGTGAGGGAGTGTCTGTTAAAGCCAAAAGTCCATTATATAACAAATTAGGTTTTTTGAATGCATATGTTAAAAAACTGACAAGTTAGTCACCTGTTTTACTTATATAGACATGTTTGTGTAATTAAAATTATGTATGAAAAGTTTAATTTTACAGAAAGGTTTTCTATATATATCACAGTAATTTTACATTTGTACCAAATAGGTCTAATGAATGAGCACATTCACCAGTCACCAAGAAAAAAACAAATGGGGCGGAGCTTGAAGATGGCGACCGAACAGTCGGACCTATTCTGACTCTGGTCCCAGAACGGATAAAGGGGGCTTCTGAGTCGCTCAGGGAGAGTTGATTGGCAGCTAAGGGACAGCGGAGCTCTCAAGGAGGGTAAGGGAGAGTCCGCTGGACAGGATTTCCTGACCAAGTGGCCAGGACGGCCGCGGCAGCAGCAGCAGCGGCGGGGGCAGCGGAGGCAGCGTGCGGTGGGCTGCGGGCGTGGAGGAAGGGCTGCATTGTCTTGCCAGGAAGGAAAGAGCTTCTCTGAGGCTTGGAAAACGCACAGCCCGGAGGTCCATCGAGCAGCTGAGACTCCCAGAGCTGCGCAGACACGTGGATTCCGGGGAGATCTTCAGTCACCCACGGAAAGGTCAGAGTTTGCGGGGATAGCCTAAGGGATCTGGGTTCCGCGGCGGCGAGCTCCGGCCCCGCCTCCACTACGGTAGCCGGGGAGCTCCGGCCCGCCTCTGCTACGGTAGCCGGGGAGCTCCAGCCCTGCCTCCACTGTAGACGGGTGCGCGAACTACAGCCCGCGGAGGCGGAGCGGAGCCCAGAGAAGGCTACAGCGACACCTAGTGCTGGGTTTGAAGTAATCCCCCCCAGAAGAGGGGCTTTTTTTAAAACGCCAGGGGACAAGGGACAGTGTGTTAAGAATAGCGGCTGTCCCGCCAAGGGCGGAACATCTGGACACCTTGGCACCGGTTCCCATTCATCCCCTTGCTTCTGAATACTAGAGAAGAACTGCCCAGTTGGGCATAGCCGGGGAAATTGTAGGGGGAATTTGCCTTCTGGAAACAAGGGATTGGAGCCAGAAGACATAGTCCTGGAGCCAGCTAGAGCCATAGAGAAAGAAGGCCAGAGCAACCAAAAAGACTGGGAGGTCAAACCGGAAACACTGACACCTAAGAGCCGAATTACAAACTGCCTTTTTTTTTTTTTTTTTCTTTTTCTTTTTTTTCTTTTTTTTTTTTTCTTTTTTTTTTTTTTTTTTTTCTCTTTTTTCTTTTTATTAATCAAAAATAAACGGACACAAATAACTAAGATATAACCTGCTTAAAATTAAGGTTTACCTTACAAAACTCAGGTGCAGTGGAATGCTGGGGACTGCAAGACTGTCTGGTCTGAGAATCAGGAGTGCCAAATACATTATCAGAGGAAGTGAATGACCACTACTGGACATTTTTATGCTAATTTTACTATTCTTTATTTTATTTTCATTTTTTACATCTTTTATTTAATTTTCACTTTTTATAGCATTTACTTAAGAAAAATTTTTTCTATTTTTTTCCTTACTTCATTTTACCTTTTCAATTATTACATTTTTCAATCTTTATCATCACTATTACTACTGCTATTTTGCAATTTTTGTTTCTTTCCTTTTTTTTTTTTTTTTTTTTTTGTTCTTTGTTTTTTCTTGTTTGTTTGTTTGTTTGTTTGTCTGTTTGTTTCCTCTCCAGTACCATTTTATTTTATTTTTTTTCTGTATTTTACATTGGGAATAACCTCCATTCTATTTTAATCACTACTTTAGCATCATTCAACCCTATCTCAACTTGACCTTTACACCATCACTCTCTTACTAAACTTTACCCTTTTAGTCAACGGTTTATCCTATCCCTTTCCGGCCCTAGATTTTCCTATATCCTTTCTGTATACCCCTTGCTAAAGCTCTCACTATACGTATAGACCTAAGTTCCAACCCCTGATCCAAGTGTATAAATACCAATTTCTGTACTATATTAACTAGTTAAAAAAAAACAAAAACTGTTCTCCCCTCTATCCTTTGCGCATTGTTTGTGTGAGGGTTGATTATTGTGAATTTTTATGCTTTTTAGTGAAATGGTTATGCTTATTCCTGTGTTGTTATTGTTGCATTGTATTTTTTTTTAAAAATCCTCTGTTTCTGTTTGTTTCTATTACTTCTGTATATCATAGACTTACTTAATAATAGTGGATATTGTAGTTTGTATTAATCTCCAAGTATTGTTACTGGCATTGGCTGGGTTCAGTAGTTGTTCTATGGCAATTTTCTCCACATATATATAGTTTGTTTCCCATTTCTCTTTTAGTTTGCTTCTTCTCTCCCTTTCTTTCTCTCTCTCTCTCTCTCTCTCTCTCTCTCTCTCTCTCCTTTCTTTTTTTCCCTGTTTTCCAACTTTATTTTGTCATTACTTTTTTTCTTCTCTTTATATCTCTTTATCCTTCTTTTTTTATTTTATTTTCTTAATTTTTTTTTTTTACATTTTAATTTTATAAAAAATTTTCTTTATTTTATTTTTACCTTTCTTCCTTCTCCCCTAACCCCTAAGTTGCCTTTCTCTAGTGGTCACCTTTATTTGAGGTTATTAATATTGTAAATACATTCCTGTTAAGTGCCTCTTGTGTTGTACCTGGTAGTGTTGTATATTGTACCTTTAAATCAACGCAGCAGAAGGAACACCACATAACCAGACACCCTGAAAAGAGAGGCTATGGGGAGACAAAAACATAGTCTGCACATAAAAGAAAAGCAGGCATCACCAGAAAAGGAAGTAGAGTCAGAGGCAACCAGCCTAACAGAGCAAGAATTCAGAATAATGATCATAGGATGGCTAAAAAGAATGGAAGAGAAATTTGACAATAACCAAGAAGAAATGAGGAAGAACCACGAGGAATTGAAGAAGAACCAAGAGGAAATGAAAAATGACATCGCTACCATGAAGAACTCAATAGAAAGCATCAAGAGTAGACTAGATGAAGCAGAGGACCGCATCAGTGAGCTAGAAGATAAGATGGAAAAATATACCCAAGTAGAGCAACTTCTAGAAAAAAAGATTAAAAAGCAGGAGGAGAGCCTACGGGAGCTTTGGGACAATACAAAACAAAATAATATTCGAATAATAGGGGTTCCAGAAGGAAAGGAAACTGAGGTAGACATGGAAAAAGTATTTCAAGAAATAATGACAGAAAACTTTCC